CAACCCCAACCCCAACCCCAACCCCAACCCCAACCCCAACCCCAACCCCAACCCCAACCCCAACCCCAACCCCAACCCCAACCCCAACCCCAACCCCAACCCCAACCCCAACCCCAACCCCAACCCCAACCCCAACCCCAACCCCAACCCCAACCCCAACCCCAACCCCAACCCCAACCCCAACCCCAACCCCAACCCCAACCCCAACCCCAACCCCAACCCCAACCCCAACCCCAACCCCAACCCCAACCCCAACCCCAACCCCAACCCCAACCCCAACCCCAACCCCAAACCCAACCCCAACCCCAAACCCAACCCCTTTTATACTTTAAATTAATCTAAATCAAATAATATTAATTTAAATAAATTTTTAAAAGCTATCAATAAATGATGCTTTTATTTTGTTTAAAATTATTAGATATTTATTTTAATCGCTTTTTTAATTAATATAAATAAAACAATTACATTTTTTCTTTAACCATCAAAATAAAATTTGAAATTTTTACAAGTTTAATTAAAATATTTTTATGAAATTTTTTTAATACTTGTTTAAGCACTTATTAATGGTTATTACTTTTGTTAAAATAAAAGCTTAATTATAAAATATTAAAATTTAAATTGCTTTTTGTAAAAGCTCAAGCTAATTTAATTTATTATGCTTAGCATATTTTTGCTTATTTTATAAAAAATTAATTAACTAAATTTTACTTCAAGCTACAAATAATAATTAAGCTAATAAATTTAGAATATTTTATCCTTAATAAATAATGATAATAATTATTATTTAAATTAAAAAATTAGTAAAAGAGATTGCAAGCAAATCATGGAATAAAAAATTGTTTTTTAAAAATGTTCTCGCAATGAATTAGCTTATTAATTAAATATATTTAGTAGAATTTATGCTCTTAACTTTAGTGTAATCCTAAAATTGTCTAAATAAGAAATAATTTATATTTTATAAATATAAAGGACGAGACTCGATAAGCTGAAAACTAAAATTATGTTAAATTTGATTCTAAGAAGTAAAAAGAGGTTAAAGAAAAGGTAATTTTATTCATTTAGGAATATCTAATGAGTTTATAGCTTATATAATAGGGTTATATAGTTTAGGAAATACCTTCTTGGATAAATTTTGCTTTAGAATACTTAGAAAACAAATATTAATAATAGGTAGGTATTTTTGTTGTTTTTAAAAAGAATATTTAATAGAAAATACTTTAAAAAGAATATTTTAGGAAAGAAAACATTCCAAGATAATCATTTACTATAGTATCAATAAGACGCAATCAAATTGATAATCCAAAGAAATGGAAACACAATTTTGGCTGATGAATAATTTTTAGGAAAGTCCTTAATTGCTCTTAAAGTAGCATAAGAATATAGAATAGCTTGGCCTTTGCTAATTGTTACATCTGGGTTTAAAGTAATTGAATTTATATATAAATCCCTAATTATTTTGAAAATATTAAATAGAAATAACAATGGTTAGAATATGTTAAAGATTACATTCAAAATATTAATGAAAATGATATTTTAATAATTGACAAATCATCCTAATAAGTAGAAAAAAAATACTAAGTTGTTATAATTTAATATGAAGTTTGTTCCAAATTTGTAAAGTATTTGTAACAATTCTAAATTGCTATTGCTGATGATGTGCATTAACTAAAATGCTATTCTACATAAAAATCATAAGCTTTAATTCCTATTCTTTCTCAAATGAAGCATAAAATTTTGATCACAAGTAACTAAATGATTATGAAAGTTGTATGATAATTTATTATTTTAAATAGATAAATTCTAAGAATTAAAGCCAAAGCATGTTTATAATCTTCTAAAAATTATGTTTCCAATTTTCTTTAAATATACAAAATTGTTTCTAGAAAGGTAATAATATATTAATATTTTTATTATATCTCAAGTAATTTTTTTAAGGTTTTGTGATCCAAGACCATCTTAGTTCATGTAAGGAAAGTTTGATTATGAAGGAGTTAGCTGTGGTATTGAATTAGATTACATATTGAGTCTCTGTGTTATTAAAAGAAGCTTTCAAGATGTTTACAATTAGCTTCCTTAATTAATCTATAAAAAGGTTTACTTAAAAGAAGAATCTTCTAAAGTATCAAAAAATTAATGAAATATATAATTCCTATTAATGTTTTAACTAATTTTTATTAAAAGTAGATTCAAAAGATTCAGCAATTGTTTTAAATGAAAAGAATTTAAAATATTATTTAACTTCTTATTAATATTAAAAGACAGAATGCTTAAATTCCTTTGCCAGAATAGGTAGCTTTTTTCATTATTATTTATTTTTTAAATTCTATTTTTTTGTACAGAAAATTATTTCTGATGAACTTCTTGAATTACAAACTCTTAGTTGGCAGGCAAAAGGAAAGTCTATTCTTAAATTTTTTAAGGATTTATAGTTGAAAAATGAAAAACTATTGATTGTTGTTAAATTTGATTCAACTAAATAAATTTTATCAAAATTATTAAAAGATTTATCGCTAAATTTTTATCTCATTTAGAATATGTCTCAGTTAATTGAGAATATAGAATAAGAAAATAATGTTTAGAAAAATAAAGACTCTCCATTGTATTATATCATAGACTATGATATACAAATACCTCAATCACTTCTCAATGTTGATTATATCATATTTGTTGAAGTATTTATTTTATTTAAATTCAAAATAATTTATTTTTTGTTTATTAAAAAAGTTTGATTTGTTCTTTTTTCAATTTTAGAAAGCAATTTAGATTGCTAATAGCAAAAATAAAAAAATTAAATGTCTATTTTTAATGAATTCAGGATCTCTTGATGAACTTATTTATAAAATACTGTTTTAAGAGACTAATTTAGAGAATATTTAGTAATTATTAAGAGAAAGTTCTGTAAAAAAGTAATTAATCTCTATTCCATCAACTAAAGTTAAAATTAAAAAGAAAACATCATAAATATAAACTGAAAAAACATATTAAAATGAGAAATAACAAACAATCGATAAATATATTTTTAAATCCGAAATAAATTGCCATCATTCAATTTAAACTTCTTCAGATTAAATGTTTTATTTTAGTAATGGTGATATTGAAGAGAATTCTTAAAAATAAATAAGTGAAACAAATGAAAAAAGCTGTAAATCATAATTGAAACCAAATACAAAAAGAAATCTAAATGAGGAATTTGACAATATTGAATATATTACACCTTAAAAGATTGTTATAAAAGAATAACTTGAGTAATAATAAAGAAATAAATCTTAAAAAAATAGCAGTGGTCTAATTAAAATGATAGATATTGGAACAAATTAAATTACCTCATTTGATACTTTTATGAAAACTGATTAAAGCAATTTTAATTTATTAGAAAACCCTGTAAAAGATGAAAATCTGTAAATTTTAGAATAAAAAAGTTAAAATTCCTCTTTAAATTAATAAAATATTTAGAAATCAAAAAATAAAACTATTTTTCCATTCAAAAGTGTTAAACTAAACTTGCAAACTTAATTTAATCAAGTAAGCTAGATTGATAAGCTAAATAATCCTAATAATGACGAAAAAATATAAGATGAGTAGTTATAGAAGTTAATTTATTCAAAATAAACAAATTAAACTATTAACTTATCTTAAAAGAGCAAATAAAAAGATAAATAAATCTAGATTAATTAGATTAATGATAAATTTTAGGATTTAAATAAACCTAAATAAGCTGAAGAATTTCAATAAATTTCAAAAATACATTCACCAAAAAACATCATTTATATTAAAAATGACTCTAATTCTGAGTAAGATTAGAAAAAAAGTTATGGTGAAAATTTTAAATAGAAATTAACTAGTATATCATATTAAAATAATAAATAAATTATTTAAAATGATTTAAGCAATAAAGAAATAATGCAAAGCAAATAATTAAAGTAATAAGAAAAAACGTAAAATTTGTTGTAAGGAAAACTAAACTAGGGAATTAGTATAAAAGAATTACTAAAGTAAAAACAAAATTTTGATGTGAAGAAGCAGATAAATGTTTTGTTAAGGTAATGCTTGAGTAAAGAACCTGTGAATAATTTTAAAAATGATCCAATATTAGAAAATCTTTCCAATTCTATAAATAAAGATATTGCTAAATTATTAAAAGATTCTTATAGTGAGCAAAATAAATATTAACAGTATTAAAACAATATTTAAAGTAAAGAGGTAGATTTAAATAATTAAAATTAAGGTACATTTGAACTAATAGATTAGTTTTACAATATGTATTAAGTAAAAGATAATATTGAACTTATAACTTAATAACCTAACTAAATTGAGAGAAAATCATAAGAAAATATAGACGACCATAAAAAAGTTTAATAAATTGAAAAAAAATTTGAAGAAAAAAAAATTATTATTGTTGATCACACATTTGATATATTTTTGCATTAAATATGAATAAAACAAAATAATTCTAATTTTTAATTTTTCTGATTTTATTAATAAAACTGACTTGCACAAACATTCAAATCTTCACTATTTAGTTTTATATTATAATATTAAAAGTTGGGCTATTTTATATTTTTCAGGATTTATCTGCTATATAATTTTTGTGAAAAAATAAATATTAAATTTTGATCTTAAGAATAAAATTAATTTACGTATTTCTGTCCTTATGCAATCAATACAAAAATTTAAATATGTTTTAAAAATTTTTAAATCTAAAGATAATTTTTACCATACTACCTAAAATTTTTAAAAGTTTAAAAATGAGAAGATGAATAAAATATTATTTCTAATTAATTTAAAAAAGCTTTTACTTAATTATACTTTGAAACTCAGATGTTTAAACTAATTTATTATAAATCACTTTATTCTCTAGGGGTATTTTAGAGCTAATTTATCTAAGGAGTCTCTGCTTAACTAATATTTTCATTGTGAGCTTAAGATTCTTTTGAAAATTTAGAAGATTCATTTAAGAATTTGATTTTTTTTTCCTGTTCAAAGTGTGAGCTTTAACATGAGTTCATATTGTAGTCATCAGCAAATTTTTTTGGGTTCTTATATTGATCCTCAGAGATTTGCATAATGCTATCTTCATCATCTTCTAAAGAAGTATCTATATTATTTTCTTAATTTTTAGGTGTATTAGACCTATTTTTGGATTTATTAGAACCTAAGCTTTAGACTCTTATTATGAAAGAACGATATATATAACCTTGAAGTCCGTAGAACCTGATGAGTATTTCTTCTATGTCTAACTTTTAAGGTGTACCTGATAAAATGATAACACCTCTTTAGATGCTTAGATTAAGCCAGCTAGGGAAATAAAGATTTTCTTTAGGTCCATAAGGATCGTATTCCTTATTTAATAAAGATTTTAAAGAGAAGCAACATCCTCCAGGAGCAAATTTAAAAGACTCGACTGATCTTAAATCTCCTGGTTTTAAATGAAGGCATTCTCCATATGAAGGAAAGAGTGAACTTTTCTTTAAGTCAATTCCAAGAGCATCAGCTATCAATATTTACTTTAATAAATAAGGATTAATCCCCTTTGAAGTTAAGGAATTTAAGTTTATAAATTTAGTATTAAAATGAAAAAGATGCTTGAGAACAGAGCCTATTCGATTGTTATTCATTTGTATTTTAGGCCAAGATATTACGTTTCCATGAATATCTAGATTTTCATCATAAACTATTTTTACAAATTGCTTATACCAGTCATTAGGAGTGTACAAAAAGCAATTTTTTTTCCCATACTCTCTGATATATTCTGCTATCAGATTTGTTTTTAAATCTAAAGCAATAAAATAGCGAGCTAGCAATAGCTTTATGCATTTATAAAGATTTGACTTTTTATTATATAATTCCTCTCTAAAGAGCTTTGATTCTTTTTTTTTGTCAGGTTTTTGATACTTTTTATTATAGATTAAAATATCTTCGATGACTAATTTCATATTAATTCGTCCTTCTTTATTTAAATATTTTTATTCTATTTTAGTATTACGAGTGTTTGTTTTTATAGCAGCTAATTTATCTTTAAATTAATTTGTTATATCAATCATATCAGCATTTAGGTTGTTAGGAAATTAATATCTTCTTATAGATTATTAAGCATTTTATTTATTGTTTTATGCATTTTAAATATTCTTAGATTCTTTACGAATTTTTTAATCTACCTGTAAGTCATCTATCACTTCATCAATTTCTTACTGCACGTCTTATAAATTCTTTATATTTCCCTATTCTTATGATTGTTTCAATACAGTAGCTAATTTGACTAACCTTCTTAAACCTATCTTTTTAGCGTTACTGCCTTGTTCTTTGTTGACATTTTAAATTAAATCAGCTATAACATGCTTTGCTTTTTTTAAATCTTGAGAGATCAAGGGCACTTTTAATACAAATTTTTGCTTAATCAAAGCATTTACATTAGAATAGCGATTTTTTGTTTTAAAAATCGAATTATAAAAAATCTCTCTGTACTTATACATACCTAAAGCACCTATCAAAGGCCCAACAATTTAAACAATTAATCTAAGTACAAATAAAAGAGGCAATTAATCAACTGTTATATCAAATGTGTCTGAACAACTTGAATAACCATCTGTACCAACAACTTAAATCTTTATTGAACTTCTAAATGCTTTCTAGGGTGGTAGACCGTAGAATTTATTTCCTTGTGTATCAAACTAAATCCAATAAGAAGAGTCTAATAAAACAAATTCATCACCCTAGTGAATATAAGCTGTGTACGTTACTTAACCAACATCTGGTGATAAAAAGGTATTCTAGAAGATTGAAAAAGAAAATTCAGTAAGAATCTGTAAACTGCCATCTGAATAAAAATGATTAAATTAACTCTAAAGCGAATACTATTCATTCTTTATTACTGGACTTTTTTCTTTTATAAAATTAATTTCAGAAAGTTAAAAATTTAATGATAGGTCATAGTTGATTTGATCTGATATTAAAAGATCTGCTTAAATGCTATTGTAAGTATAACCCTCTAAAACAAAAAAAACGATTTATCCAGATATATACTTATTAACATTCTCCACAGTACCAGTAATCAAAATATTATTTTATTCTTCATTGAGTGAGATATTTGCTCCTGTTTGATTTTTTGCAATAAATTTTCCACTTAGTTTTTAAACTATTATATTTACAGACACTGAAGTCGCCACTGTTTAAATATATGCAATTTTATTTGGGGGATTCTAGTTATATATTAATGATGTTTTAAAAAATAAATAAATTGGAGAATACTGTATAGAATTCAGTAATATTTATTTAACTTAATCACTGATACACGTGTTAAAATTTTAGTCATCTTAACTTACGTTAGGTATGAATATCTCTTCTTATATAGAGAGTTTTAAATTAGGATTTACTAAATTCTAATCATCAATATAACCATTTTATCGAATGAAGTAAAATATCAACCAATTTTGATAATTATCTGTGAGGCAATTTTAATTTTTAAAGTAAAAGTCTTGCACATAGAGGGGTTTGAGCGTTTTCAAGACAAATACATTTAAAAGGGAGCTGTCTAAATTTGATTAATCTATTGATTCTTTAACAACATGTATTTTTAAGCAAAATTGATCTGGATCATAAGTAATCCAATCAGGCAGAGGAGTAAGGGAATTTTCTTTATAATACAAAACACTGTCAACAACTAAATCTAAAGGCTGATATAAAAACTAGATGTCTATATTAATAGAAGTTCCTACTAGGAATGAATCTGTAATTTATCTCTTTCTATAAACGTAATCATTTATCGTACTTGAAAATCCTATAATCTCTTATACTTCAACATGCATCTGCACTTTTCCTATGGTAGGAAGTGAAATGACTCCAATATTATTGTTAATGAATAAATAAGAGAAATCTTTTAAGGCACAAGAAGACATTCCATTTTGATTTAGATAAGTATATTGAGAGACTAAGAAAGGATTTTGGATATCAGAGATATCTATCATATATATCATACCTTTTTCTAGAGTAGATACTATCATTAGTTTCTCATCATTCACAAAGGTTATATCATTGCTCCATCCTGGAAGTTAAATTTATGATATTATATTAATTTAAGGTAATTTAGAAAAATCCACTATTATGACTCCTTAAAGACCATCAATAAAATACCCAATATCATTTGAAACACTTGATGAATCTAAGTTTTCAGCACCAAACGAATTCAAATAATAAACTTTTTTGATGTTTCTTAAGTCAGAGATATCTAAAATAAAGTATCCATACCCTCTACTAGACCCAATTACATATTGATTTCCATTAGTAAACATAATTCCAGTGCAAGTTCCTTTCATGCCTTATTCAAACTACCATACAGATTTCACAAAAAACTTTCCTATTGTTGTAACATCAATAAATACCACAGAGCTTCCCACAGCCGTAACCAATAAATTAAGTTATTCATTAAGATCTGAATCAACTACGTAGTAGTCATTAGGATAAAAAATCATTTAAAGGGGTTTAGCTTATAATTTGTTAGTTAAAATTTCCTTAGTTTCATAAACTGCCAATACATTCTCTCCATCACAAACAGGAACTAGTATATATTGATAATCATTCAAGAATATAATATTGTCTATATTGGCTGTAGAGTTTGGTAGCGTAAATCTTTGAACCAAAACTTTTATATCTTAAGGGTTATTAATATCTAAGATCCACAATCCATCATCATCAAAAGACCCATAATAAAGATTGTTTGAATCATCTATTTAGCATCTCCAGTAGTGGTAGGTATCTGACCAAGAAAATGTATGAGCTAGATGCTTATTAAACAAATTCAAGTATTAATTATTTAGGTTTGGAGTTATTTTTGGAAAAGCTAAGAAGCTCTAGCCATTTGCATAATACAAATGAGATTCATCAACTGATAATTTTACAGATTCTCCTTGATAAGGTACTACAATTTGTTAGTAAAGTTGAGGATTAGATTTATCAGTGATATCAACTATAAATATGCCTTAAGCAAGAACGCCCATAAACAAAAAGTTATTATCGCTTGAAAGGCAAAGTGAATATGGAGCAGGAAGTGTGATGTTTGAAGGCCACCATATTTAAATCGTATAGTTAGTTTCCACATAATAACCATTAGAATTAGAGATTAAAGTAAAATCTCCAATGCTGACACCTCTTTGGTTATCAATATTCACAATGTATTTTAAGTCAGTAGTCATTTCTACTGCATATGAACCAGATTAATTCCCAAGAAATGCTCCAGCTAAGTCTAAGCTAATAGTACCATCTTTATTGTATTTTATTTAATAGATTCCTAAACCTTTCTAACCTTAGCACAAAAAAAGCCACTTATCATCATAAGAAATGAGCCCATTAAAAATCTGAGTTTAATGCCATAAAGCACTTCCAGCAAAAGTAGGATTAGATTTATTGGAAACATTTAAAGCCCTTACTTTTCCATCAGATTAGAGTAAAAATAAAACAGTCTCAGCATTATTTAATATTATTTCCATATTTTAAACTAATACTGAGTCTTAAGACACCTTTTAAAAGTTACTTCTACTTGTGTAATCTATGATAGTTAATGTTCCATTAATAGATAAAAAAATATAATTTGCATCTTAAGTCACAGCAAATGATTCAATAAAATCATTAGTCCTCAGCACATTCTGTACAGCGTAATTTTTTTGAGGATTAACAATCTTAATTCCAGAAATGCCAGATGCAATAAAAACCAGATTGGCCTTTTTTGCTACCTAAATTCTATTGTACAAGCCTTGCTTTTCTGTTTTAGATAAAATAAAATCATATTCTGAGGAGTAAACCCAACTTTAAGCTACGGTTCGAGATTACATCCTCACAATGTTCATAAATATGCTAAATAAAATTATTAATAGTGAAGTCATTTATTTAAATGTTAATGAAATTTCTTTGAACTTAAATCACTTTTTTAAATTTCTTGTTTTTCACTATTAGTTTTTCTATGAAATATATTTGTTTTTCCTAAATTAATAACTAATAATAAATTAACTTAATACAACATCTAAACAACTCATCTAAAAATTTTCATTTATTTTTCAGCATTATCCAAAAATTATTGCCAATTAATTAGAGATAATAAAACAAGAAAACATTTAAATTAATAAAATGTATTGTACCTAAAAAGATTAACTTTAAAAAATTATGTTTTATCATTAAAAAACTAATTTTTATTCATAATTTTTTGGTGCATAACATTAATAATTTGTGAGATAGTGGCTTAATAAAATTGCCATTAAATAGAACATAGTTTTATATTATAATAAGTTTTTTATATATAAAAGCAAATTTTTATTGATATTAAAATGAAATTGAAAGAAATTTAATATTTTGACTTTATTAAATATATAAATTCAATAATTCTTGTTGCTAAATTTAATTAAATAAAAAAATGTGTAAATATTTGTGCACTAAAAATCTTAATTCACAAAAATTGCAATAATGTTATATAATTAAAAGATAATTTAATAATATTGAAAATTACAAATTAATTTAATTTTTATCATTAAAAAACATACTTGATTTCTTAAAAAATTCTAAAATTTAGTGAAAATTGAATATTATTTTTGATAATGGTAATGATTTTTATTAAAAAAATTTAAAGAAAATTATATTTAGCAAATAAACTCAGATCACAGTAAGAAAATAAATAAATAAATACATAATCAATTATTTAAATTGATTGATTCTATATTATTTTATAAATCAATTATTTTTTAATTACTGTCCATCATCTAAGGTGTTCCAAAAATTTGAGTTGCTTAATTTTCTATTAAAGGACTTCTTGCAAAGTTAGATAACCTGATATTTTTCTAATTGATTTTATCTTCAGAGTCAAAATTTTTTGTTTAAATTGGCTTCATGTTAAAGTCTTCGTTAAATTAGTTTTAATCAAACTATTAATTATCAATGTTTAACAATTTAGATTACTCCTCGCCTTAAATAGAATCAGCTTACTTTTTTTATTTTTATAAAGATTCAACTCTGCTCTTTTAGTAGGTTCCTTCTATATCTTATACTCTTAATGTAAAAGAACGATAAATATATCCTTGTAAACCATAAAATCTTATTAAGATTTCTTCAATATCTTATTATTATGGAGTTCCAGTTAATATAATAACACCACTCTGCATTATTAACTCTAACCAATTAGGGAATTGCATATTTTCTTTTGGACCATATGGGTCATATTCCATATTCATATATTTCTTAAGAGAAAAACAATATCCTCCAGGAGCATATTTAAATGATTCTACTGATCTTAAATCGCTAGGTTTTATATGAATACACTCTCCTTAAGATGGAAAGAGAGAAGAAGGTGGATTAAAATCAATACCTAAAGCATCAGCTTTGAGCACTTATTTCACAAGATAAGGATTAACTCCTTTCTAAGATAGTGTATTGAAATTTTCTAATTTAGAAGTAAAGAGATCAAGACTTATTAAAGCTGAAATTATGTTATTATATATGAGCTATATTTTTGGACAAGCAATAGTTTATCCATAAATATCTAATTTATCTTCTGATATAATCTTAGTGAACTGTTTATACCAGTCATTTTATGTGTGCAAGAAGCAGTTTTTCTTTCCAAAATATCTGATATATTCTGAAACTAAATGAGTTTTTTTGTCCAACTAAATAAAGTAACGAGAGAATAAATACTTAATACATTTGTATAAACTTGAGTCAGGATTTGTAAGTTCTTGCTTGTAAGCTTTTGCTTCAAGTTATTTACCTACAATTTCAAATTTTACATTATATTTAAGCATATCATTAGTGATGGATTACATCTTGATTTTACCATCTTAATCTAAATATTCCTTTTCTAAAGTTGAGTTTCTGGGATTGTTCTTTGTAAGTGCTAATTTATCTTTGAACTAGTTTGTGATATCATTTTTATCTGTATTGAAGTTATGATGCTTAATTGGTGTTACTTTCTATGTTTAAACATTATTGCTGTTTATTAAATCTTAGTCATTCTGTTGCGAGTTAGGTATTTAATAAAATTACAAATTTTGTTCTAATTCTTACATTTTAAAAGCTTCTCTTTGTTAATCTTCTTCTTCTCTTTTTATTGCCTCATTATTTTCAATATCATCTATTTTTAATGTTGTCATCTTAGCAAGTTTTTGTAAGTCCACTTTTTCAGTCTTACCATTTTTTTCTTTTTGAACATTTTCGATGAGATTTTCAATCATGTCTTTAGCTTGTTTTAAATCTTAAGAAATCAAAGGAATTTTTAAGATAAATTTTTCATTAACTTGTACATTTACTTTAGAATATCTATTTTTATGCTTAAAGAATGCATTGTAAAAAATATTTCTATATTTATACATTCCTAATGCACCTATAATAGGTCCAAGTACTTATGCTATCCATTATATTACAAACAAAGCAGGTAACTAATTAACTGTTATAACGAATGTGTCTGAACATGTTGAATAGCCATCAGTGCCCAATAGCTGTATAGTTATAGATTATTCGTAGGCTGACTCTGGAGGAGTTCCATAGAATTTATATCCTTCTGCATAATATTAAATCCAGTGAGAAGTATCAAGAAGAACAAATTAACCTTACTATTGAATATATGCTGTGTATGTCACTTAACCTACATCAGGAGAAATAAATGTACTTTAGTCAAAAATAAAAGTGAAATCAGTAAGAATTTATAAATCACCACTTGCATAAGCACTATTGAATTAGCTCTAAATAAGCAATTGAGTATTTTTTTAGACAGGGCTTTTTTCTTTCATAAACGAGATCTGTGAGAGTAAGACATCATAAGACAAATCATAGTTAATTCCATCAGAAATTACTAAGCTAGCTTAGATCTTTGAATATTAATTGCCATTCATAGCATAAAGCACTAAAATATTAGAAAGATAAAAGTTAACATTATCTATTAAACCAGAAATTAAAATATCATTTTTATCACTGTTTATAGATATGTTGACTCCAATTTAATTCTCGTAAATAAATTAACCACTAAATTTAGGGACAATAACATTGACTGAAACTTCTGTTGCAACTGTTTTGATATAAGTAAGCTAGTCTGGAGGATTTTAGATGTATATTAGTGAGGTTTAAAAAAATAAATAAATTGGAGCAAATTAAATAGAGTTTAATAGAGTTTGCTTTATCATATCGCTAATGCATTTGTTGAAACTATTAGTTAAACTAGGAAATACTGTCAACTATTACTAAGCAGTAAAGCTCAAGTTAGGATTTACAATATTTTAATCGCTTATATACCCATTTGCTAAAAGGTAATTGTAAATTGCTTAATTTTATGTGCTCGTAGTTAAGCAAGCAGCATTATTATAGTTAAAGTCTATTTGATAAAGAGGATTTAAAGTCTTCAAAAGGATTGTATTGAGCAGCGGTAGGGTCATGTTTTTAGGATCAATTGCATCTTTGACTACTTAGATATTTATAGAAACAGCTTCTGGATCATATGTCATCCATGTAGGGATAGGATACATGATTTCTGACTAGTATAGCCAAATGCTATCAATAATTAAATCTAAAGGTTAATAGAGAAATACTATATCAACTTAGATATTCATTCCAACAGTGAAGATATCAGAAATCTTCATTTTTTAGAAGATAAAATCTTATGCTATAGATGAATATCCAAGGATTTATGCGATTTCTACATGCATTTCAACTTGGCCTATAGTTGGTAAAGAAATTACACCAATATTATTATTTATAAATATGTAAGAGTTATCTTCAAATGCACATGTAGACATTCCATTTTAGTTTTCATAATAGTAATCTGAAACTATAAATGGGTTGTGTATGTCTGAAATGTCGACCATCGTTACCATTCCCTGTTCAAGAGTCGAAACAAGCAATAGCTTTTCATTATTAACAAAGGTTATATCATTACTCCATCCAAGTATTTAAATCTATGAAAAGTAGCTAATCTGAGGTAGGTTTGCAAAGTTTACAATAAAGATACCTTACAAGCCATCAACAAAGAAACCATAATTATTGGAAATAGTTGATTAAAATAGATTTTCTGCTCCCAAAGAGTTTATATATTATACCATTTGTATATTCTATAAATTTGTAATGTCCAATACGAAGTATCCAAAACCTCTACTTGCTCCAATGATATACTTAAATGCATTGGTAAACATAACTCCTGTGCAGCTTCCTTTCATATCTGGTGTGAATTGCCAAACAGTCTTCACAAAGTAAGAACCAACGGTAGTAATATCAAGAAAAATGATAGAATTTCCTAAAGCACCTATTAGCAAGTTTATAGTCTCATCATAATCTGAGTCAACGATGTAGTTGTCAGTTTAATAAGGCACCAATTAAACGGGAGTTGCTAGTGCTTATTTAGTTATTATATCATTTGTTGCATAAACAGCAAAGACATTTGTTCCATCAATAGTTGGAATGATAACATATTGAAACCCCTTTAAGAATACAACAATATCAATATTCGCTGCTGAAGTTGGAGGTTTAAATTGCTAAACTTTTACTTGCATATTTTATGGAACTGAGGCATCTATGATCCATAGTCCATCATCATCAAACGAACCATAATATAATTTAGTAGAATCATCTATTACGCATCTCCAATAGAAGTAGGTAGTCGACCAATCATAGGTTGTAGCTAAATGCGTATTAAACATATTTAAATATTGATTATTCAGACTTGGTGAAGTTTTAGGAAATATTTATAAGCTTTAACCATTTGCGTAATATAAAAAGCTTTCGTCAGAAGAAAGCTTAATAGATTTTCCTTGATAAAAAACTTAAATTACCTCATAAAGGTTAGGATTAGCTTTGTCTGTTATGTCTACTATATAAATACCTTAAGAAAGTACTCCTAAAAACAAGAAATTGTTATCTTTTGATATACAGAGAGAGTAAGGAGATGGAAGAGTAATAGCTGTAGGCCACCAAATGGTTACTAGATAAGTTGCTGATTTATAAACTCCTCCAGCATTAGTTATTTAAGTAAAATCAGCAATACTGACTCCTCTTTTGTTGTCTATATTGATGATGTATTTCAAGTCACTTGTAAGATCTACAGCATATGAGCCAGATAAAGATCCAAGAAAGGCTCCTGCTAGAAAGAATGAAACAGTACCATCAACATTATAGGTGATTTGATAAACACCTAATCCTTAGAATCCCTAGCAAACAAACAGCCATTTATCATCTTAAGATATAAAACCATTATAGATTTCAGAATTGTGCCAGCTAGTGCTTCCTGCAAAGGTAGGATTTTATTTGTTAGAGATATTGACTGCACGTATTTGCCCATTTGCCTAAAATATAAACACAATTGATTCTGCATTATTTAAAATCATGTCTACATTTTAAATTTAAGCTGAATCTTAAGCTATTTGCTTGAATTAAGTTCTACTTGAGAAATCAAAAATTGTTAGCTTTTTATTGTAGGGAATAAAAACGTAATTTGCATCTTAAGTCATGGAAAAGCCTTCAACATACTCATCGCTTTTAAACACAGATGTAACCTAGTAATTCTATTTAGGATCTATAACTTTAACACCTGAAGTACCAGCTGCTAGAAATATAAGATTAGCTTTATAAGCTACCTTAATACTATTATACAAACCTTAAGTCTCAGTTATTGGAATTATATAATCATATTAAGATGAATAAACCCAATTTTGAGCTGTTTGAGCATTTATATACTGTATTAACCATAATAGATTAACAATAAATGCTAATATCAATATCATCAAAATCTGCTTTAAATGATTGTTCTTTTTACCTTTTGTTTTTTTTGAGATAATCTTAAATTAAATTGTTGTTTTTTATCAATCTACTTTCTTGTAAAATTTTTATACTATTCAAAATTTTATAATTAATATTGTCAAAGATTATATAAATAAGTTTTTTGTGATTTCTATAATCAAAGCTTGAGGTAGTTAACAATAATTTAATGAATAAAAACCACATTAAAAATGTATTTGTTCGCTTCTAAATTTGATTTTTTTCCATTCAATTTATTAGTTGGAAAAAAATTTCATTTTTTCAGGATAGTTTTATTGATTCCTAGACAGTTTTTTTGTCTATTTCATATTTAAAAATTTTTCTTAAATTCAATTGGTTGCAAATATATTTAAATCTTAATGATTTCCTTTAATATGGATTGTTTTTTATCTTTAAGCAATTTATTCTTGTTGAAAATTATTAAATAAAAATGATTTATTTTGTTAAAATTAAACATCTTTGTATAAAAGTAAATTTTAAACACTACTTAAGTATTATATTTAAATGAATAAGCTTCTTCTACTAAATTTGAATTGTTTTTTTAAATATAAATAGTTTGCTATTCGAAATTAGTAACTTCATTTGTATATTTTGCTTAATTAATATTATTGATTTATAATTTATAATGAATTTAACCTTTCTGCCAGTTGAGATGATGATGCTTTATAAACTAAAATTAATTACTATATGATTTACTTTATAGAAAAAGTGAATTTAATTTATTTTTCATTTAAGAAAAATGGTACTATTTAAGAAGCTAGAAAAAAACAGATTTATAATGATTTTTAAATTAATAATATCAATTGAACTTCTTTTCCATTCATACATTTAAATAATGTTTATATTTTTCAAAAGAAGAATATAATTTACATGGTTTTTGTATTTAATTAATTAATCAATTAAAAACCTGACTTTTGTCTTATTTAATTTGAAATATGATTCAAATAATTAAGCTTTAGAGTACAAATAAATCAATTTTTACTTAATTATTCTTAATTTAAATAGTTATAGCAACCTAAATTAGATTGATTATATATTTACAAAGATATTTTTTATCATTAATTTCTTTCATTTTAATAAAGGATATTTTAAAAAGCTAAAAATAATTCATTTATTTTAATAAAAATAATTTATTATATTTTATTTAAAATTATATTATTTTCACTTAAATCAGTAATACTAATATAGACAATAGACTCTATTTTAATCCCTTGGGACGAATGTAAAAATTTTAGAAAATTAATTAAAAAGAAATATCCCTATTTTCAAATTTACTTATCTATGAGCTATTTGTTTTTGATAATCTAAGGTATATTTTCGATTAAGAGTCTTTTCATTTCTACTTTCAAAAGTTTATAATATAACAATAAAGAAATGTTAAAATAACTTCATTGCTATATTTTTTAATTTATTTATTGTTCATTGATATTTAGATTTTTTTTGTAGAATATTTAAAAAATAAATAATCTTAATCACTTAAGATATATTTTTTAAGGTTAACTTTGATTAACCATTCATCTTTTTAATTAAAAATATCAAGCTATTAATTAAAAAAGCACAAATGGTCTTATAATTCTTTTAACTATAATTTTTGTAAATATTTTAAAATGGATTTCAATTAGGGAATAAACTTTTCCTTAACCTAAAAAGTACTAAAACTCTAATTTAAAATAATTATTTTAAAATACTTAATAAGCATTTTAAATCTTTTATTATAATCAAATTCTATTAATCAAAAAGAATGGTATTAGCTCATCCTTAAAATTCATATAATAAATATCGTGTATGACGATATTAGTGAAAAAGTTAAGCTTAGGCTTCTAATCTACGATTTATTTTTCTCAACATTGAAATATTTGTATTGTTATCTAATCATGTTATTTGACTTAGTAATAGGTATATAAATTTATTTTAGGTTTTTACCATTTGCAGTAATAAGTCTAATAATAATAAAATATTTCCTGCCTAATATCCATTTTAATAGTTATTTATTTTTATTTAAGCATATGCTAATTAAAGTTATTTTTTATATTTAATACCAATAGACACCAAATAATAATAACAGAAATTCTTCTACTGAGCACTATAAAAAATTGCAAAAATATTTTAAGAAACATGAAAATATATAAAATTATTTTGCTTTTAAATATTCAACTTAAAATTTTTTACAAATCTAATATGTATAAGTTATATAATAAAATAGAACTAAGTTTAAATGAAAATTTATATTTAAAAAGTTTCAAATATAAAGAAATAATTGAATTTTTTTTAGATTGATTGCACTTTATAATATTGTATTTTTATGTGTGTATAAGGAAGTATGTATGTTATATCCTTAATGAGATCTTCAAGTGCAAATTAAAAAAAATCTTTCTGTTTGTCTCTTTGTGAAGTAATTGTTATCAAATTTTTCATTCAAGCATAGTTAATTACAAATATTTAAACTATTTCTGCTACTTGAAATTAATCTACGCTATCTTGCGTTGTTAATTAATAATATTTTGTGGATCACTATTTATTAAATGTAATGTATGTATCTCTATTTGTGTAAAAAATTGAATTTGTTCTATATAATTGATTAAAGAAATGCAGCAAAATAGTAATAGGAACTATGATAAATTGAAAACTAGTAATATTAGAAATAAAAAATGAAATACTTACATAGCTTAAGAAAACAATTTAAAATTTAACAGTCAAAACTTATTTTATTGAACTCAGATTGAATTTGTAAACTAATTTGATAGTTTCATAGGTGGGCTCGTTGAAAATATTCAATTAATATTTATAAGTTAAAAACTTGAAGGAATCTTGTCTTACACAAAATAATCATAATTAATAAGGATTTATTGTATTTGAAGTTACTATCCAAAAATTTAAAAATTGTAAGATATCTTGTTTAAATCAAAGATTGCAGATTTTAATAAGTTATTGGGAACATTTTAATTAATGTTTGAAGTAAAAAAGCTACAAAATATTGATAGAAACCTCTGGCGTAATATTTCTAATAAAAAAAGAAAATAACTATTAAAGTGAAATACATATGATCAATCACCAATAAAATACACATGCTTCTTTAAATTATTATTAATATACTATTTAAAAATTAGTTCAATGAGAAGTTATAAGTAATCTAATAGAATAAAGCAAAAACCTTAAAATTAGCATTTAGCCAACAGTTATTACTATAATTTTATGTATATTAAAAATAAAGTCTTATATTCATTTTCATCAAATATTACCAATAGAACCTAAAATTTAACTTTGGTAAAATTACATAACATACAATTACTACGCTTTCTATTTAATTTTGTAAATAATTACATACATTTTTTTCAAATACGCATTAAGGGAATGTATAGTTTGATGCTTTTTTGAAAAAATGTTTAATACACCAAAAAATTTTAGGTTAACCATAAATGCAAAAAACAACAATTTTAAATTCTAATCCAAGTTATCTAATTTACTTTTTAAAAAAGAAGTAGTTTATTTTATTTATCAAAAATACACAAATTATTTATAAATATGTGAGCAAAATTTGTTATTTTTAAACGCTATTAGCAAATTTGCTTAATAAAAGTCAGAGGAAATTATATTTTATAATACTTGCTTAATTACCGATTGCTTAAAATGATAATAGCACAACATAGAATATTTGGTTTTATTAATTTAAATAGAATGAATTTGGTATTACTTTGATTAGATTATTGGCTTATTGTTATTAATCTAATTGAAATATAAGCTGTATTTTTTTCTCCTTCTTTTATTAATGAATGTATGTAATTAATCTTGTACGCATTAAATTTACCGATGTGAATTATTTGATACGATTGATACTTTAATTATATTTTTTTATTGATTGATTGATTGATAATAATTTGATTTATTTTGGTTTCATTTAATTTAGTTTGCGCTATATTTAGATTAATCTAATTAATTCAATTCAATTCAAAATTTATCCTTTGATTAATTTGTATCTTTAAGTAAATTTCTTTTCATTAAAAATTAAAATATAATTCTAATAAATTAATTTGGCTATATAATCTATATTTTTAGATTCTAGCCTCACTGATTTAGGATGTCTTGTTCTGTTTAAAAAAAAATTCAAATAAAAATTGCATGAAAGATACATTTATGAAGGAAAAAAAATTACTCTTAGCTAATAAAGTATTTAATTTCTTTCTTTAATTTTTAGACCTATTATTTAACTTGGTTTATTAAATAGGTGGTCAAAGAAAATGCAATATATTTTATTAAATATTTATGTCCACTACTCTTTTGCAGTTGTTTTTTGATTGAGTGATTTAATGATTATTTTATAATTAAGTGGTATGTTTATTCGTGCTTTTGTTGTTTTTGATTTACATATTGATTTGATGCTTTCAAATAATACTGTTGTATTCTTACACAAATATTATTAATATTTCGCAAGTATTCGACTGCAGTTCTAGTAATAATATTTCTTCTATGGATTTTAATAATGTTTTTATGAGTGTTAATAGGGTAGGCTGCTTCTAATAAGAACTTTTGGAATCAAAATTTTATTTTAAGATAAGAAATTAAGATTTGACAATTATTACTTTTAAGTCTGTTGATGGGGATAATTTAGACAAAAACATACATGAATGTATCAAATTGCTAATGATTTCATACAGAATTCTAATTTTAAATTCTAAATTTGATTAAGTGGGCAACATACTTCTAGTTAAATTCTTTAAATAGTTGCTTATAAATTTGGTAATACTGAATTGGATCTAGTAAATAATTTAATTGGTGGTCAGCTATATTCATATGGTTATTAACAAATTAATTAATTTTCATTATTGTTTTGTTTATTTTTAATATGAAATATATTATTTGTACTGTATATTTTATTTACTTTTCATGTAACGCAACTACTTAGTGCTATCTTAATTAATTACGCTTTTAAGAGCCCACCAATAAAACCCTAAAAGTAATTAATATAAAGCTGGTTTAATGCTATAATAAGAAATATAAATAATAAACAAGTAAAAAATTAGTAATCTAATTAATACAACAAAAAACAAACATTTAAATAAATGACTCAACCTGAAACAAATAGTTAACAACAGCAACAAGCTTTAGAAATTGTCACAGATTAAAATAAAGCTGACAAGCAATAAAAAACCCCTCAATAACTTTAGAATGAAAAGCGTATATTGAGATACAGAATTTTTACCTTTGTAGTTACTTTCTGTAGTTATGCAGCTGCTCACTGTATCAGAACTTCTTGGTCTTAAATCAAGCCTTAAATTAAAAGTGATAAGTAATATGGTCTTGACACTAAATTTTTAGGGTACATGGATATGACTTTCTTATTATCTTACGGTATTGGTTTGGCTACCTTGGGTCGTCTTGGTGATAGATTAAATTTGAGATTCTTCACTGGTTTTGGTATGTTTGGAACTAGTATAGTTTTGATGACTTTGGGTGCTATTTAAATCAATCACGCATTAACAGGTGATGCCTAAAAAGCTGTCTTTATCATTCTCTGGATTCTCAATGGTCTTTGTGAAAGTACTGGTATGCCTGGATTCGTTTCTGCTATGGGTAATTGGTTCTCTAAGAATTCAAGAGGTGCTATTATGGGATTCTGGATTGGAACTACTAATACAGGTGACATTATGGGATATATTTTAGGTGGTGTTATGACTTATAGTATGAATTTATATTGGGGATATGTTCCTATTGTTAGCGGTTTCATGCTTGGTGTTATGGGTATCATCCTTTTATTGTTCTTAAGACCTTATCCTGAAAAGTTAGGTTTATTCATCGATGAAGAAGGTATTGCTAATGCTGATTAAGAATTAATTTAAAGAAGAAGATTGAATTCTTCATTCATGATTGAAGCCGAGAACAAGACAGTAGAAGCCCTTGATGATTATGAATAAAAAATTAAAAAAGATGTTGAAGAATAAAGAAATGCTAAGCCTGTAACATTCTTAAATGCATGGCTCATTCCCAATGTTGCTTTGTATGCTTTAATCTTCTCTGTCGTCAAGAGTACCATTTACAGTCTCCTCTTTTGGCTTCCTACTTATCTTTCAGATAAAAATTTAAAGGGATTAAACGTTTACATTACTTGTGTTTTTGATGCTGGTATTTTCTTAGGTGGATTCATAGTAGGTAAATTGAGTGATAGAATTGGAAAAAGATCAGTTGTCATGGTACCTTCTCTTTTCGTAGCTACTATGATGATTCTCACAGTTATTCTTTTGGACTCTAGTGCTTTCGGAGCTAACTTTGTTTTATTCTTTATTATTGGTGCCTTCCTTGGTGGTCCTTACAACGTTATTTAATCTGCTATTATGATTGATCTCGCTAAGCAAAAGGGTCTTGCTAAGAACACAAGAGCCTTAGCAACTGTCACTGGTTTGATTGACGGCTGCGGAGCTATTATTTCTGCTATTATGTAAGTTATCATTCCTTTCATTGGTACAACTCACATTTTCTATCTTCTTTTTGGTCTTGCTTGCAGTTCTTTCCTCTTCCTTATCCCACTTTTGGTTAAGGATACTAAAAGTTTACTTAGAAGAAGACAAAGAAAAATCGATTTTATGTCTTCTCAAATTTAACTTAATGGTAAAAAGTAAATTTTAAATGATCCTAGTGTCCCTACATTATAAAACCTAAATGAAAAGAAGGAATCTACTGATCCCTTGTCAACTGAAAACAAAGCTTGAAATAAATTTGAATACTATTTACTTACTCTCTACTTTAACAAAAAAAAACACTCTCCTTTCTCATAAATATTTATTTGTAAATTGAAATAAATTTAGAAATTACTCTAATGATATTTAATAATAAAAATTAATTGTCTATTTTATATTAATGTATTTTATTTTCTGATGGAATTTAACTCTAACTCTAATGTTGATTTGCTTAAAATTTTACACTTTATATATTTCATTTTTTAAGCTTTATCTTTAATCGAACTAATTTAAGTTAAGGACATAAATTTATATTAAAAATCTAATCAAATCTATCTATCCATTAATCGTATAATCAAACAAACTATAATTTAAACAAAAAGATATAAATTTATCACTGTCTAATTTATTTATAATTTTTGATAAGCTAATTTATTTTGTAATTTAGCAAAATTTATAGTAGTAGTATATCAAATGAATTATTAAAGTACTTTTCTACTAGCCAAAATTGTATTCAGTAGGACTATACTTTGACGAAAAATTTTAAATAGAACTAAAATTTTTAATGAGCAATTTAATTAATTTTTTAAAATTTATTAAGATACCTGTAGATCTATCTTGAGTATACTTATAATCCTCTAATATCAATTAATTTACACAATTACAATTATTTTTCAAACCAATATCTATCTTATATAGTTTTTAGTCTATGGATAAACTTTTATTTTTTTTAATATTTATAAATTTATTTTATAACCTTTATCTATTTATCTGTCAAATTCTTTGTGTGTGATTATTTATATTTTATATTTTATATTTTTAAATTTTTTAAATATTTTTAAAAAATTTTATCTATATATTTACTTATCTATTTATATATCAAATAATTTTATGAATAGATCTACCTATTACCATTAAAATTTTAATAAAATGTGTCTATGATGCTTTTGTGTATGAATACTAAATATAGTTTATTTAAAAAAATGAATTTCATTTTTAATCTTTTGCTTTTTATGAAATATTAATTTTTCAATAGCTGTTAGTATTCATCATAAGCTTAAAAATAATTATCTTTGTAGGAGTTAAAAAGTTTTTATTAGATAAGAAATAAAATTAAAATTTGGTAATCAAAGATCTAAATTATTTTCAAATCTAAATTTTATTATTTAAGTATTAGACATAATAAAAGTATCTTAAATATCATTAACTTTTTTTCTTATTTTATTTTTTTTAAATTTAAAATAAATTTTTTATTTTTGTTCTTAAATGAAAATCTTAATTTTAAAATCAAAAAATGATAAACTTTGGCATTCAATTAAATATATAATTAATAAGCTATGGTTTTGATTATGATTATTACTGATGCACATATTAACTTCCTATCTTTTCGTGTAAAGAATATTTAATAAATTTATTTATTTTTTATGCTAGATCAAAGTTAAAGTATGAAAGAAGTACTATTTTTAGAATTAGAGTAAATAATTTTACTAAAAAGTTTACAAAACAAATCTCAGCAAACCTATTACTGAAAATACTATTTTTTAGTAAAATTAATTTCTAGGAATAAAGTTAATTTAATATATTAAATAAGTATAAATAAATTGAATGATATATTTAATAAATCTAAAAGTAAATAATTTACTGATTAAAATAAAATATAAATTATTTGGCTATTAAAAATAAATTTAAAAAAATTAAGATGTACTTATTTTCAAATAAGAATTTCATAAAAAATTTTATCTTATCACTCAACAAAAATTATATGGAGAAATAAATTAAAATAGTTTATTTGCAGACATAAAATATCTTCTTTTTTTCAACATTTTGATTATTAATAAGCTATAATTATATACTTTACTTATTAATCTAATTTCAAGATAATTATTAATCAAAAACTCTTTAATTTTTACAATCAGAAAATTTAGCTAAATTTAAAAATTTTTATGTATAAAAATTATTTATTTATGAAATTACAATACATTAAATTATTAATTATAATTCTATTATAAAATATCAAAATCAGATTTTTGAATAAATAATTAAAAAATCTATTTCATAATAAGTCAATTCCAAACGAAGGAATTTTTGAATGGCATCTTGCTATATTAATATTTTTTTTATTTTATTGTATATTTTGTGAATGAAAGATATATGTTAGACCAGTATTATTAAAACTTTTTTATGAGGAAAAAATATATCATTTATAATTAAGCATATTTTTTAATTTTAAAATATTTTTGAAAACTATTGATAAAAAATTTTGGAGCTTTGTTTGAACTAAAATCATAATTTAATTTTGAAAAATTGATTGAATGATGTTATTACAGGTTAATTATTAATTTTTTTTCTAAGTGAATGATCAAAAAATTATTGAATTTAAAATTAGATGATGTATTTGATTATTTGTTTGTTTTATTTGTTTAAAAATCAAATATCTATCAAAAAATATTGTAATTGTAAATAAAGAGTGCATCAGTCACAAAGTGTAAAAACATATCTTTCTTTGTTTCTTGATTAGAAATTGAAAAGAACTTTTAAAGAAAAAATATAAAATATTAGTTAAAATAATTTTTAATCGATTGTAAAGTAGATACTAGAAAATACAAATAATCTCATATGAAACTAATTAACATTAATTTATATTATCAAAATATATTTTTATGCTATTTTTTTTTCACTTTCTCTTCTTTTCAGCAGACTTGGAAACGCTAGCAGCTTGGGAAGGCTTCTTAGGGGCAGAGGCTTCAACCTTTTCTTTTTAAGCTTTCTTGACTTCAGCTTGTTCAGTAATATTGACCTTAGGTCTAATATCAGAAGCAATGAAGAGGGCAATACCAGCAATAGCAAGATTAATGACACAATTCATAAATTCTTGATGGAAGTTAGTTGGGTTGGCAAAAGGATTGTGAATAAAAACAATGGTAGAAATAGTGAAGAGATAGAGAATGAAACCAGCCAAAGGAACACCAAGGATAATCAAAGCAGAAGTAAATAATTAGGTGTATCCAATATAGGTAATAATTAAGTTGGAGTGGTCAAGAAGGAATTCAGGGCTAGTGTATTACTTGATCAAAGGAATATGCTATTGAATATGAGGAGAAACAACTTCACTTGCTTGCTTAAAAACTTGAGTAGTTTGGACCCATTGGTGGAAAATTTTGTATTGGGTACCAAAGTAAAGAGCAGGCTTTTCAGGGGTTTAAATCTTTTGGATGCCAGCGCCAACAAACAAAATGACGAAGAATAATCTTCCTAAAAATCTTAAAGCGATTCCCATTATTAACTTGAATATTTTTTAATATCTATGCTTTTCTTTTAATTTATAATTAAAAACTTTATTTTTTATTTACAAAATCTTTTTCTTCTCCTCAAGCTTTTCTTCTTCTTTTTTTCTTTCTTGTATCTATCTATAAAGCTAATAATGAATAAATTCTCCTTCCTCTATCTTAAAGGGGTTTATTTGTTTGTTTCTTCACAATAATGAATGAATAATTTAATTGTTTGTTTTTTTTACTCGTCAGTCGTCAATGATTTACTAATGACTTGATCATCAATTTATACAAATCTTTTTATTTATAAAATGCTTATATCAAGCAGATGTTTGATTTTTCATAAAAAAATATAAAGATTTATCAAAATTTTTTGTTAGAAAAAATATTCAAAAATTTTAACATTCATTTTTGTATTGAACTAAATTTTTTCAATTCAAATGTTTGGATTTATAAAAAGCATCTTTCTTTTAATTAAAACACGTATTCAAATTAAGCTAATTTTTTTTTTTTTTGAGTGATTTACTTTATGCATACAACACCAAATCAGATCAAAAATTTATTATTTGATCATTTATTTTTTATTGTATTTTCAAGTTAATTTATTTAATAAGTTGGTATTTAATTCTACTTGAAATATCCATTTATTTAAAAATACAACATAAATAAGTTTCTATGTCATACTTAAATACCTTTCAATGTTTTTAAGATTATTTACATTTAACACATTTTTCTTTAAAAATATATTTGTAGAATTTCATTATAAAAAATGACATATCTTTTTTAAATTATTGATTAATTTAATAATTAGTGAATACCTAGTTAGTGATTTTAATATTAATTCAAATAAATTAGATTTTATTAGGTATTTAGAATTTGAATATAAATCTCTCTTAAAAAAACTTCTTTTTATGATATTTTAAAGATTTACAATTTCTTTAGAGTATTAAATAAGAATAACAAATTTATAAGGTATCTCTATTTTAAATTGTTGATTAAATTTATTGTCAATGAATATAAAAGGAGTGATTTTAATAGTAATTAATATAAATAAATATATAATATAAATTAGATTTTATTAGGAAATAGGTATTTATTTGAATAAAGTTCTCAATTAAAATACTTCTTTTCTTACTACTTTAAAAATTTTTGATTTCTTTATAAATATAATTGCTATTGTCTTGCTTTTAGTAGATTATAGTTTGGTTAAAAATTAGCAGGAGAATAATTTTAGTTCTAACGGTTTCCTTTACTTGATTTAGAATGAGCAGAATAAGAATCTGGTAAATTTGTATCACTGCCTTGCTATAAACTTAATTGGTTTTTTCTTGTAGGGAGGTGATATTAACTTATCTTTTGCTATTAATTAGGATACATTTTAGGGTGAACACTTATCTAGGATTAAACTCTTCTTTTAGGAGAATGTTGGAGACTTGTATTCACTGGAGATCCATTTTATATAATAGATTAATTTGTAATAGTAGAATGATTCAGTCTTGCAAAATCTGCAACGTCTTCTACGTTTTTTAAGTTTTTGTAAATTATTTTATTTTTTAACTTCCCTTCCTAAATTATATTTTTCCAATCATTAATCACTCCATCTCTTAGCTTGATTTGTTATTATAAAAATTGCACCTATTATTCTTTGTGTTTTGATTAATTATCTGACTTTTTTTCTCTATACTAAATTTCTATGCTTTCCTTTTATATTAAAGTTAAAATTAGATAAAAAATTTATATTGTTATAATCTTTGTTTTACAGTTTATACTTAAGCTTATTTATATACGCTCATAATATAATTATTGTTGCTTAAAGATAAATTTGCCTATTTTATTTGCTTTAGTTAAACATATGAATTAATTAATATATATTTTTTGTATCTACTTGAATTTATTTTACCGTAAGCAAATCATTTCTTTTATCTATGAGATTAATATATTTATTTGTATAATCTTCTTTTTATTACATTAAACTCTTTAAATTTTGCTTGAAAGAATCAATTTTATCCTTTACTATATCTTTATCATTAGAAGGGTCCTAAAGTGATTAAAATATTAATCCATTTATCTTATCTATTTGAAAGTCAACATCTTATTAAGACTTTTAAATATCTAGCTCCAACTAAAAGTGTTTTTATATTATTTTTTCTAATTTATTTAAGCTCTCATTTTATATTTGTTCATAATCACTTCCTTAATTGATAGGTGGTAAGTTTATTCCTTCTTTTATATTCAAATCAAAAATAATAAGCTTAATAATTAATTATATATTTAATTAAGATTCTTCCTTTTATAATTAATTGCTATGTTTAAAGCAATTTAAATCCAATTAATTAAATTAATTTATTTTATACTTTTTTAAAAAATTAAATTTATTTTCTTTATTCAAAATTATAATAAAATACAAATTATTTTGTTGAAGTAAAATTGAATTTCTTTTAAAGAGACATTGATTGATGCTTTTATTCAATTTTTCTAAAGTTTAAATAGAACCATCTCTTTTATTTATTTTTTTTTATGTATTATTCTAAGTAAATTGCTCTATTAAATAAAATAAAATTAATACGCTTATCCGAAAGCTGCCTTTTAAGCTATTCATTTTCTTGTCTGAGATTTTGAATTATTTAAGCATAATTATTTAGATGGTTCTCTACATTAAGAATGTTTCTAACCACGTTAGTTTTGATATTTTTTGCTCTGTTTGCATAATTTAGAGTATTATAAGTATCTTCAAAAGTCAAAACACTAGGTGAAACATTCGCTATCATTACAGTTCTACAATTTCCACCTAAAGAATCCTATTAAAAATTTTGAACATGAGACTATGTAATTAATGTAAATAAAAGCTCACTTTAAGTAATCTAGTAAGTTTACTGCCTCTGTAAGGTACAAACAAGTTTGAGTTCTTTTTTTCTTATATTTAAGATAGGGCTTAAATACAATTACCTAAACAAAGTAAAGATTAATTAATTTTAGCTCCTTCTATCATTCTTAGTCCTCTATTACTTGTATTTGCTGCTCTTTCACTTCCAGCCAAATCTACCATACTCAACTTGGAATATTTAACTTCTTCTTGAGGACCTTGCTCTAACTATTTTATTTCTACTTAAACCTAAAGCACTGCATGAGATCTTGAAGAGGCTTCGTTTGCTTCAGTTGCTTCCTTTGTTCTGTTTCTATTACCTACCTATAAAATGTATTTTGTAAGATCTGATTGATTGCAAATAAACAAAAATGACTACATATATTACATATTATTTAGTTATTTATTTTAAAGGATAAATTAGTGTTATTTTTTTAATATAAATAGCTATATTTTTTAAAATAAAACAGCTTTATTTGTTTTGATTATTTTTTTGAAATTTATATTTGCCAATAAATCAAATTCAATATTTCTATAATAATTTTACCTTCAGTAGAGCCATGATTTCTTGTGTAGAGCTGCATTCTATTTCTGTAATACCTGCAACAACAACTCCCTATGAAGGATCTTCTCTCAAGTCCAAATTTTTATCTTCTATAGACAATAAATCTTTTATATTTTCGTTGTATATTTCAAGATATGAAACTCTAACAACAAAGTGATTCTGGTTTGAATTTTGCTAAATCAAATAATACAGCTAATTCATAGTCCTTGACATAATACCAGGGTTATCAGGACTACCAACCATTCTAATCATTATTTTAAAATTTCAATTTCAATATGCTCTAACAATCAATATAATTTTTAACTAATCGAATACGTATATGTTTTTCCAGCACCAGTAGCTCCATAAGCAAATACTGTAGCGTTAAATCCTTCAATAACACCATCAAGCAAAAAATTCGATGTTTTTTCATAAATTTCAACCTAGGAAATAGTTTCATCAAATGCATAATCAAATGCAAATTGCATTTCTTTATTTCTATTCTTCCTTAATACCTAAATGAATAGTTTATTTGATTAATATCTTGCTTATCTTGAAAATTATATTTATTTCATTTAACATATTAATAAATGAAATAAACATGCATTGAATATTTACATCATTCTAATTAGACTCATAATATGGGTCTATTAGCACAACTACTCTTTCATCTAAAATTCTTACTACTTCATATTCGCTTTTTTCTATTTCTCTTTGATTTAGAGGCCTACATCTAATCGCTACCTATAAAAAGAAAAAAAAAAATAAGCTTAGCTCCTAGCTGATTACAAAAAATTGGAGATGTGCAAATGGGTTTTTAAATGATATTTTTTAAGCCAAAATTGACCATCAAAATATCAGAATTATAAGCACTCATTAAAATTTGCTATAAATAATATTACTAAAATGTTATTTTATCCATTCTTCAGCTAATCTATGTAATTATTTCTCTATAAATTAAAGTCATTTAAGTAGTCTTTATTATTCATACTAACTTATTATTAACAAACCAATCTTTCTTTATGCGTCTTTGCTCACAAAAAAATTATTAATTTCTTTTGAAATTAGAACTTACTTATAAAAATACACTAGCAATAATTGCCTTTAATAATCGAATTTTACTTTGTAAGCATGCCTTCATCATAAACAAACTCTCCTTAATTAAAAAAAAATATATTAGCCATACATATTAATTCTATGCAATTTATCTTTCTATTCTTTTGATTTTTATTTACATGCAACCTAAAATTAAACTAAAATTATGTTAGCGATAGAATAAATAATTAAAATTATTATAAAAAGTTTAAATCATGAATATATTATTTTTTTAATACTTCAATTTAAATTAAAATAAACTTAAATAATTCATTACTCTACCTAAAAAAACCCAAATATTTAATTTAATTATTTTTAAATTAATTTTATAAAACATTTATCATTAAAGTTAAGAGTTATTTGAGATTAATAAAAATAAACTCATATAAAAACCACTCATAAGAAAATTAAAAAAATGATTTAATTATTAAATTTTATTATTTGCTGAAGTATTTTTTTTCTCCAATAAAATTATTAATTAAAGATAGCTTTTATTTACAATATGAAGATATGTTTTTATAATCTAAATATTTTCAATTTTTTTTGTTAATTAAAATTATTTTTAAACCTTTGCTTATTATTTTGTTTAGATTTTAGATATTAATAATTCTAAACTTAAACAAATTTAATAATGATATTATCTAATTTTATTTTTTTAGTCTATTTAAAATTTTTATAATTATTTAATATTTTAAGACATTAAAATTAAGTAATTTTGTTTTATTTTATTAAGCACTCTTTATTATTTAATCAGTTTTATGCTGTATAAGGAGTGCATGTTGTTCCAGGTTTATATTTTGAGTTTCTCATTTGAGATCCAGTCTTTACAATATATGATTTTTACTATTTTTAACTATTAAATTGATTTTCTAAGTTATTATTTATTATTTGGCTTTCCTACAACAAATCATTAATTAGATTATCAATACTTTATGATGCTTTTAAATTTTTAAGTAGCTATTATTTATCTATTTACTAAATTTCTTGCCTTTTTTAGTCCTGGCTATTATCATTTTTAACAGAAGAATCGTTGAAGTTTCTTTTGTCGATTAGCACACTTCCTTCTTATAATATTTTATCATTTTTCATTTTTATGCTTTCAGGGATTGGGATGTTACAAGAAAAAAATGGGTGCTATAAGGCTGCATATGCTGAAATTCTCTTTAATTAATAAAAAAATATATAATTCTACTTTAATTTTATTCTTTTTAAATTATTATAATATTAAATTAAGAAAACTCTTTATTACCTTTTAAGGAGAATAACGCAGCATTTTTTATAATAAATCAATAGCTTCAGGAGAAGCATTTGGAATTAATTCTTGCAAAGGTTGAGGCTTGTATTGAGGAAAATTGTAGCCTACTCCTGATGCTAATTTATAACCTTCTGGCCATTCCTCTTTACTTGGAGTTCCCATAACTTTACAAATTTAAAGGATTTAATCTAGTTCATTCTATCCTGGAAAAAGAGGCCATAATTTATATAATTCGGCCATAATACATCCGATAGCAAATATATCAATAGGAGAATTATAATTGTTCGCCCTTAAAATTACTTCAGGAGCACGATACCATCTAGTAGAAACATAATCTGTAAATGGAGGTTTTGAACGAATTTCGCGTGCTAATCCAAAATCTGCTATTTTTATTGTGTTGTTAGACTCAAGTAAATTTTCAGGTTTGAGATCACGATGAAAGTAACCATGTCTATGAATATAAGCTAATCCTTGAAGTGTCTAATATATAATATTTCTAATTTGATTTTCTGTAAATGGCTTCTCGCGATCTTTAGTCATTTAGTATACGTTTTAATCCATGTATTCGAATACAAAAAAGAGTTCATTATTGTGTTTTATAATCTCATAAAGATTGACTATATTTGGATGATGGAACTTCATCAAAGAAGTTATTTCAGGAAGTTTTATGATCTCTTCCCATTTAGGACATTTTTTTGATTTCATTTTTTTAATTGCTACAACTTGCCCGTTTGTTTCATCAACAGCTTTCATAACTACACCAAAAGTTCCATCACCTAATGTGGCTCCTATTTTATATTTTTTCATCTCTTTTTTATGTATGTTTATTTCTATCTATCTATCCTAATTGAATATAAAATTTTGAAAAAAGACTTAATTTTATAAAAAAAGATTATAATTTTTAAATTATTAAATTAAGTTATATACGATCAAATATATGTGCTTTTATTATACAAATCTGATAAATTGATAGTCATGATATTATGAAAAAAATATATTCTATAAGTTAGTATCATATATTAAAATATTATAAACACAAGTTAAATTTCAGTTTTATAGATTAAAAATCCTAAATAAATATTTGTAAAATACCTTTTTAATGTTTAACTATTTAATAAATTTAAAAAAATATTTTTTTAAATTAGAATAATTTCATAAAAGGCTATTAACAATAAAAATAAATTTTTAAAAATTTTCATACATATTAATTTGTAAATAATTAAATAATTTTAAGGACTAAACTAAATTTTAAAATTTGACTTTTTTTGAAATTGAAAAATAATTACAATTTAAAAAAATTACTTTATGTTTCTTCAGTGTAAAAAAGGAGACCTACCTGACTGATTCTTGAATATAACCCCTCATAAATTAATAATTTAAATATATATAGACAGCTGCCTATTTTAAAGTTTAAGTTAATTAATTAATTATAAATTCTAATTAATGTTAATATTTATGAAATCTTTTATGATAAAATATAAATAGATACAATTAGTCAGATTATTTATTAGATATTGATATAAAAAAATAAGAAATTTAACTTCGTTAGATATAATTATTTTCATTAAATATATCATTAATTTTTTTAATATTTTAAAAAATATATTTTAAACCAATAATAAATAGTGCCTAATATTAATTTTATCTAATAAGTAATCAAGAATCAATTTAATTTACTAAATAAAAAAAAATAAATAATGAGCTAAAAATTTACTTAGAAATCAAAGAAAAAAAGATCTTAATTTAAATATTTAAAAAAATTTAAATTAGTAAAGTAATATAAGATTTAATAAACCTTCTTATATTATTACATTTAATTTATAAATAAATTGTTTAGTAGTTGTTGACTGACTTTTAAATTTGACTTAATTTTACTTTTGAATGAAAATTAAAACAAAAAATGTTAAATTTAAAGAGATAGATAGGTATTGGTTGCTGTTGTTGCTATTATTATTTGTTCAATTATATGAATAGCAATACATTAATTAATAGTTTTTTAATCTTTTTTTTAATAAAGGCTTGTAGTTAATAAATATAATTAATAATAATCAATTCTATTAATTGCATAAAAATTACTTACTTACTGTTTGAATTAATGTCTGTTTTTTCAGAAGACAAATTCAAGATAACTAGGAGAGTACCAGCTCTGTAAAATATGAAGTCAATAGATCATATTACAAAAGTTTATATAAACAATAAGCAGTACTAGCCCATTTCGACGAAAGTTAAGAAATGTAAAAACATCTACTCTTATATTTTAGAAATATCAAATGATTAGTACTAAAATCATCTATATCAAAAATAGATTTAAAGCTAGCTGAGCACATTCAAAGAAATTCACATAGTTCTGAAAGAAGGTTCCAAGGTAATTAATTTTTTAAGCAATCTTATTGCGGTCTGTGTAATTTTGAATTATTTTTACAGTAAAGTTAAGAAATGTTGGAGATAGCAATGAAAATGACGAAGATTATTTCTTGTATCCAAAAAATAAATAAAGTCTCAAGGAAAATCAATTATAAAACATAAAAAATTTTAAAAGAAGCGTTGAGAAACAATCATCATTGACAGGTATTAATTGTGGCTCATGCCAATTTTAACAGATTGCTTACATCATTCATACATTTTAGCTCAATAAATATAACTTAATTTAAATACAGATGACACTTCTTAATAAGGAAGATAAAAAGCATAAACAGCTTACTGTTTGAATAGTATTTCAAATCAAGAAAGCTATGACAGCTCTACCTTAAAGAGCTATTAGACTAGCGATGACAGTAAATTTAAATAAGAAGTAAGAAATTCCCTCCCAAATTCTCCTTTATTATAACCGACAGTAGTTTAGTCAAATATAAACAAGTAGAAATTGAAGCTGGAGTCTTTCGAAAATGAGTAACAGCAAGAAAATCTTAAATCAAACAATACAAGCAAAGATCAATAAAACTCGTTGGAGGACTTCAATAAATACTAATTGGTTGGTGTGCGTAAAAATTTAATGCTTCAAAGAGCTCAATTATAGAGGTTAGATTAATTTAATAGAAAGGATGAGTCAAACAACTTCATTTAAGAGGAAGAAGAAGACGATGATGATATACTATTTCATGAGTCTTTTGAGAGAAAGAACCAGTAAAAGTAAAAATAAGAGCTTGAAACTGGCCTGCCTTAGGAGAATTGGAATGAATTATCAATAATAAAGTCAAAGGGAATTTAGTAGAATAAAACTCCCCTTTCATAATTGAATATACAAAAATTTAGCAGAAATCATATTTCTAATTCCTAAGCTGGTTCAAGAAACAGAGTAAATTAATCTAATGATTTAGCTAGTATTTTGTAAGAATTAGATCAAGAAGATTCTAAGCATAAAATAGTACTGCCATAGAATTTTACATTTAATAACATAAAAAGAAATACAGTATTTAAAAAATCAGCTAAACAAAACGATTTAATGAACAGCTTAAAACAATTTAGACAATCAATTAGTCCTTAAACAGAAAATACTCCATAACCAATAAGACAGCTTTCTTAAAATTCGTTAGGCACAGCAAATCTATAAAAGGTATAAAAACCAAAAGTTGTCAGCACCTTTTCACAATCTTAAAATTTATTCAATATAAAACAAAGCAATCTCAAAGTAAGGTCTTAATAACAAGATATTAATTACATAATGAATTAAAACTTCCTTTAAGATATTAAAGACCTTAAAAAAAAGCTATAAAAGCAATCATTTGTACTCAAGGCTTTAAATATTTGAAAATAAATAAGTTTATTTATTTTTGAGCAAGTAATTCATTCTGCTTTTATAATGGAATAAAAATAATTATAATTGAAAACATTTACAAATTTAAAAAATAGCAAATATTAAATAAATAAATAATTAATTAATTAATAATTTATCTCTTACTAAACTTGTTAAGTAAAGGTGTATCAAACAAAACCCGAATTTAACTAAATAAATTTATTAAATTATAAAAATATGAATCTATTAATATACTAAAAATATTTATTCCTTTTATTATAGATATCTAAGACTAAATAATTTTATAAGTTGTTCCTTGGTATGTTTTATTTTTTATGTTTAAAAACAATCAATACTCACTCGTAAATCTAAATGATTCTTCAAAAAAAAACAATTCTTATTTTAAATATATAAATCATTACTAAAAAATTTAAATTAAAAATTGCAGTAAAAAAAGAGAAGCTAATGAAATAGATAAATTCAAAAAATATTTAATTGAGAATATAAAATGATATTTAATTATTGATTTTTTAATTTTATTAATAATAATTCAATTTTAAATTTATAATAAATACTTTTTATTTATGCAAATTTATTTTATTCGAATTATCAAATAAATTGGTATTAAAATAAAATTATTAGTCGAAAATAAAATATTTTTTTCAAACTAATTTGATATTTCTAATTTTATTTAATGCTTAATTAAAAAATTACTTAGTTTTATTAATTATAAAAAAAAAAAATATTGGCAACTGTGAGATTCGAACTCACGCGGATTACATCCAGGCGATCTTAAGTCGTCCCCCTTAACCAACTCGGGCAAATTGCCTTATTGAAATATTTGAATTCATTTGTGAATAATTTTTATAAAATATTAAAAATACATTAATATTAATAAACAAACTAAATTCTTTTATTTTTCAAATTAAAATTATTATAAAATAGAAATTGTTATTTATTTTATTATTGTTATTAATTATTGTCAGCTAGATATCTCAGAGCATTCATTTATGCATATATAGTAGAGATCTTAATTTTTACCTCACCCTTTTCCCAGCTGGATGCTGGAAAATAAATAAATGAATTATTATATAATCCTCAAATAAATTTATTGAAGTAATAACACTGATTAATATTTCCAAACAACTCGAATTGACTGACCTACACGAAAGAAAAAAAGGTGAATAGTAAATTATAAGAACTATTAAAATAGATACATACTAAAGATTAGGTACCCTAAAGACAAGTAAGAGAAAGAACAAATATGAAACTGAATTAATAACTAACTACTAGGTTCACAACATTCTAAATTAGATTAAAAAAAGCAAAGATTTTCTTAAATATGATGAATTATATAAAGCATTTTTTTTTCTTGTATAGCAGTCCAATGATTCATTAATTGCAAGATATATCAAATCAGTGATCAAGAATTAATTACCATTAAATACAAAAAAATTTTTTATTGATTAGGCCGTGATACAAACATATTATAAAATAACAGATTAATTGATATAATTGTGATATTGGTTGATGTTAACCAACTCTCTTTCCTATTGAAATATAAATTTAAATCTGAATATAGAATCAATAAAATAATAATAACACAATTTTTCTCAAATTTCCTTAATTCAAATAATTTCTATAAAAGGTAAGTACAGTTAGTGATAAAAATTTGATCTTTTATATTTTAAAGTAATTACAGTTTGAAATTGTAAGTATATAATTGTTTCTATAAGTGTATAAATGAATATATTTTAATAAATATATATGTATTCCCCTCCC